CAGGAGAGGAACAGAGACTCGCCCGAAACAAAGACTGCTTTTGTGGGACTGACCTTGAGAACTGGCATATCGGGTCCATCTAAGGGCAGCCGAAGAGGGAAAATAAGTGGTCGGAAATGAAACGGGCTACTGTTGGGAAAGACTCGTAAAGAAATAGTTCAGAAATGCATCACTTGCTCACCAATGGATGCTCTGCAGTGAATGGGTGCCGTCAGAATGAGAGTCCAAACAGCTGATAAAAACATCACAATAATCCACAAGTAATCCACACCACTCCACTCCATCAGTTAACATCCTGTGAAACAAAAAGCTGCATATTTGTAAGAAACAAATCCATCAAGACGTCTTCAAACCGTTGCTTCTGGCCAAAATATGAGTCCATAATCCATAATAACACTTTCTCCGGTGTTGTCTCTCACATCAAAATCCACCCACATGTTTGTTTAGAGCTGTTTTGGTTTGTAAATGGTGCTTGATCTGTGCAGATTTCTCTCCTGATTCAGACAAGAAGACTTTTTCACTGGAGAAAGCAATATTATGGATTATGGACTCATATTTTGGCCAGAAGCAACGGTTTGAAGACGTCTTGATGGATTTGTTTCTTACAAACACACAGCTTTTCACTTCTCCAGATGTTAACTGATGGACTGGAGTGGCGTGGATTATTGTGATGTTTTTATCAGCTGTTTGGACTCTCATTCTGACGGCACCCATTCACTGCAGAGGATTCATTGCTGAGCAACTGATGTGATGCTACATTTCTCCAGATCTGAGGAAGAAACAAAGTAATTTACATCTTGAATGTCCTGAGGGTGAGTACATTTTCAGCAAATGTTCATTTTTGCCTGAACTATTCCTTTAAATGAACGTAGGCTACAGTAATGGTCATATACTCACACAGTACTGTAATGTTCCTGTGATGCATGTCAGAGCTAAAGGGATTGGTTAGTAATACAATGTAGAGGCCTGTGTTGTTCCTGCTGGACTGGTTTATCGTGAGTTTCTTCCCACTGATGGAATAATGAGATCCATTTTTTAACTGGAGCCCATTAAAGAACCACCGCACCTCTTTGACAAGGAAAGAGAGTCAAGGAATCAAAAATACCAACTCTAACAATGTTTTTGCTACTGAAGTTTAAATCAAAGACATTTATTAAATGCTCTTATACGCATGTGTCATGAAGCAAGGAGCAATAGCTAAATAATACATGATAGTCTTTAGGAATGTTAAAATCAATAGTGCATTAAAATAATTGAGTCACTTAATTTTATTCACAAATATATAATGAATATGCAATTGTGCTGCCCTGCTTTACATAGTAAGGCTTTAATAATTTCATTAACAAACAATACGAAACATAATTACATCAAATAAATGCTTAACATCATTAGTTCATGTACATACCAGTGTTATCTTAGTATTTTTTTAAATACTACTGTAGTTTTTATTTATATTTTAAAACTGCTTTATATCCGTTTTCATTTTAATTTAAGTTAAAGTTTTAGTAATTTTGTTCTGTGTTTGTCATATTCAGTTTTTTTTCTGTCTATATAGTTTTATTCATTTTTATTTCAGTTTTAGTTATTTAAGCACATCACGTTAAACCAAATGAAAATAAGAAACACTGCCTTGGCAACTGGTTGAATTGAAGAAGAAAAAAAATTCAGTTAATGTTTATTTTATTTCAAGCAACAATGGTTTTAATTTTAGTTTTAGATAACTATAATAACCCCGGTACATGTGGCACATTTTAGTCGTTTATTTCTCATTCACATGAACCACTGATTGTTAAGTCAGCATATAATGTTTGTGAAAGATTCATTAATAAAAGTTATTATATATTATAATTATCAGCTGACCTGTTTTTTTTTTAAATACCAATACCACAAGAACAAGATGGATAAGAAAAATATAGAAAAGAAGAAGTTGTAAATGAACACTTATTTCACAAAACATTAAAAAAAATGTATGTAAATAAATATAAATAAAGAAATGAAATAAAATTAATTAATTAAACTACTAGATTTAGTTAACTGGCCAACCAGGAACTGTTATCAATCATTACAGATGAACTCAAAATAGCCAAACATAATCATGTTGATCAATCAATATAACTGTCAGTCCCTAATTAATTATAATATGTTACCACCCATGTTCTCCACACTCACCGTAAACAAAGAGGTAAAGTGCTGACCTTTGCCTCCTCGATTTGAGTCATTACCACAGTGTATGTATCGTTATAACTATGCGAAACATGCATGAAGGTGAGAGATCCGTCTAGTTCTGGTTTTAAAACATCTGAAGCAACAACTGAAGGCAACCAGAAGGCTTCCCATAAACCACATGACCTCAGGCTGAGGGACACCAGCGTGAGACACACTAAGGGTCACATTGGTGCCCACAAGAGCTTCAACGGATACGGGTTCCGTGGGTGAGATGCTCAGATCACACACATTACCTATGAAAGCAATAATTATTCATGCACAACTCTCTGCTATGATTTTAGGATGGTTGCAAGCATGCAAGTCAAAAGAGCATTTATGATTTTTGGGTGATTCTATAATGTACTGATCAACCTCTGCAGGATATAAATCCACAACATTTAATTACTTTAATCACTGCACACAACTGTGATTTATGTTATTCCAAAAGTGTAAGAGTTGAATTCAAACCAATTCAAACAAAACATTAAGATATTATTACAGATATTAAGATAAAGATATCAGAGCGGCATCATGTACTTTGTCAAAAATTAAATAAACAAACATAAATTGGTAACACTGCAATAAGGTTTCATTTGTTAACATCAGTTAACTATATTAATTAACATGAACTTATACAGCATTTATTCATCTTAATGTTTACTAACATTTACTAATGCATTATTACAATCAAATGTTGTATCTGTTTACATTAGTTAATGCACTGTGAACTAACATGAATATGAACATGTTTATTAACTAACATTAACAAAGGCTAATAAATGCTGTAAACATATGTTGTTCATTGTTAGTTCATGCATTAGTGCTAACAAATGAGACCTTATTGTAAAGTGTTACCCATGAATTTAATTGATCATTGTCTGACAGGTGTTGTCTGTGGTGTTACATATACTACTGACCAATTTCATTAAGTTGCTTTTTTAAGACAAAAATGACAAAAACTCTTATTTTATTTCACCGCTTCAACCAATGTCTTGAAACATCTGAATACATGAGGAAGCCTAATGTTAAACGTCTGATTTCTAGACCTCTGAAAGTCATGTGAATTATTAAAATCTCAATGGAGATTTGTTTTTAATAATGATTAAAAAAAGAAAATATTTATAGAAATTTTGAGTACAAAAACATTTTTAAAACAGTAAAACAGGAACTAAAAAAAGTCATGAGGCCTTTGAATATTGTTGTGGAAAATGGAGACCAAAAGATTGAGAACCTCTGATTTAATTAGTTTTTGTAGACAAAAGCCTCAAAATAATATATATATATATATACAGTATATATATGGTCGATTTTGAACCACCCCTCATGAAAGACCTTTGTTTATCAAATGGTTTTAAAGAGTTATTTTTAGGGAACAGCACTATTATCACCCAGTTCTCCTCATTCAGTGTGAATGAATCTGAAGAGTAATTAGACACAGAAAGAGAAGCGAGATGAGAGATAAAGAAGAGAAGTGACCCACTGTGTCTTCATTCAGCAATGCCCACATGGTTCCCAACACTGTAAGACAAAAACTCTTATTTTATTTCACCGCTTCAACCAATGTCTTGAAACATCTGAATACATGAGGAAGCCTAATGTTAAACGTCTGATTTCTAGACCTCTGAAAGTCATGTGAATTATTAAAATCTCAATGGAGATTTGTTTTTAATAATGATTAAAAAAAGAAAATATTTATAGAAATTTTGAGTACAAAAACATTTTTAAAACAGTAAAACAGGAACTAAAAAAAGTCATGAGGCCTTTGAATATTGTTGTGGAAAATGGAGACCAAAAGATTGAGAACCTCTGATTTAATTAGTTTTTGTAGACAAAAGCCTCAAAATAATATATATATATATATACAGTATATATATGGTCGATTTTGAACCACCCCTCATGAAAGACCTTTGTTTATCAAATGGTTTTAAAGAGTTATTTTTAGGGAACAGCACTATTATCACCCAGTTCTCCTCATTCAGTGTGAATGAATCTGAAGAGTAATTAGACACAGAAAGAGAAGCGAGATGAGAGATAAAGAAGAGAAGTGACCCACTGTGTCTTCATTCAGCAATGCCCACATGGTTCCCAACACTGCCTTTGTTTATCAGTAAACCAGATGGGTGGTCTCTGCGTCTTTCCAAAATCATATCCTCACACAACAGGTTAGACAAGCTCAAATCTTGACATAAATAGACAAATAATTGTTGCCCATTAAAACAGCATTGATCTTCTCTGTTGGAAAAAAAATACAGGTGCATCTCAATAAATTAGAATGTCGTGGAAAAGTTCATTTATTTCAGTAATTCAACTCAAATTGTGAAACTCGTGTATTAAATAAATTCAATGCACACAGACTGAAGTAGTTTAAGTCTTTGGTTCTTTTAATTGTGATGATTTTGGCTCACATTTAACAAAAACCCACCAATTCACTATCTCAACAAATGAGAATATGGTGACATGCCAATCAGCTAATCAACTCAAAACACCTGCAAAGGTTTCCTGAGCCTTCAAAATGGCCTCTCAGTTTGGTTCACTAGGCTACACAATAATGGGGAAGACTGCTGATCTGACAGTTGTCCACAAGACAATCATTGACACCCTTCACAAGGAGAGTAAGCCACAAACATTCACTGCCATCTCTGCACTTTAAACCGGGATAGAAAAAAGTACTGTAACATTGCAATCATTCCACTGCAGCTTTAAGAGTGGAACAATTAAAAAATGTAAATAAAAAAAATCCCATTGCAAAGATACCCCCCCCCCCATTAATGAGACTTACAAGAAACAATAAAATGCATATGAAAAAGACAGCTTTTTATTGTCATCAAATGATACTGTACAATCAGAACTCATTCAGAGGCGCTTGTGGTAATATGCTTTACTCTCTCGTTATGCTGTGAGACACTGTCCTATTAAAATGATGATCATCTTTAAACAACATAACTGAAGTACACTGATAACACGTTTTTAATTACACAATTAATGACAGGAAGCACAGAAAAGGTCTGTTCTGATTTTGAGTGAATGTATCAATGAAACAAACTTAAAGGCTTATTAGTGCATTCAAAAGTGTTCCCTACAATATTGATGTACTTTGTCTTAAAATGCACTGAAAAACTGGCGAGGCCTCGCTGGGATGGACGGGTGTTGATGGATAAGTGTCTCTCAGCATCCACATGAACATAAGAGTCAGAAACACACAGGAGCAGGTACTACATGAACTACATGAGTCTGGTCTGGACTTGTGACAGGGCCGAACAAGACTTTACTGGCCTCAAAGTCTGCTCCATCACCAGTGATGAAAGACCTAGAGAAAAACAACAACAAAGCAAGACAGAAGAATATGTGAATTACACACGGCCTGCATCTTAAAGGGGTCATATGATGCGATTTCAAGTTTTGCTTTCTCTTTCCCTTTGCCTCTTTGTTTATTTTGAATGCGCCCTCTAGCGGCGAAAATTACATATTGTGCCTTTGATATTCTTACCTTCAGGGTTAGTCTGCACCGCCCCTCCTGCATCTGCTTCCTCTATACTCTTCCAGCTTCTTTCAGTTTTCCCACCAGATCATCGACTGTCTCCACTTTGACTCCAGCTTGTCTCTGAGGAGGTTCATCCACCTTCAGCACCTCCAACCGTGAGCACACATCCACTCCCAGATCTGCAGGCTTCACATTCGCAATCTTCTTTTTCTTTGCTTTCTAAGGAGGCACAAAAAAAACACCAATGCTTCTCTTTTTCTTTCCTGCTGTCAAATAAAAGTTTTTTTTTCATGGAAAAGCAGTTGTAGTTTAGTATCACATGCCCTTTTTCCACCTTCTCCTGTCGTTCTGCTGTAGTGCTACAGTATGTAGCTTGTGTTTTGTAGTGGTTCACAAGCGAGGTGAACATCTCTTCAAGTAATGTTAACAACACGCCATAATTTACTGAAATCGAAAAGTGGTTTTCTAAAAACCAATCTAAAAAATCCCAAAGGGAACCTGTGGATCAAAAACGCTAATTCTCATCAGAACATTAAATAATGCTTTCATTAAATAGTGAATCTACTTCACAAGAGAGTAAAAATCTATAAAATCAACAACTGAACAACTAAAACATCTTATAGTCCATGAGGATCTAGACACACCTGTCACTGACAAATTTACATAAACTAGCAGTTACATTTTCTCTTCTGCTCACAAAGGCTGCATTTATTTGATAAAAAACCCTGCAAAATTAGTAATATTTTCAAATATTATTCTAATTCCAAATGCAATTTATTTCTGTGATCAAAGCTGTATTTTCAGCATCATTACTCCAGTCTTCAGTGTCACATGATCTTCAGAAATCATTCTAATATGCTGATTATGCTTGATTTTTATTGTTAATGGTGCTCAATTATTAATGTTGGTTCTTTTCATTATCAATGTTGAAAACAGTTGCTTAATCCCTTTGTGGAAACCGTGACATTTTTTTTTTACAGGATTCTTTGATGAATAGAAACTTCAGCAGCATTTATTTGAATTAGAATTTTTTTTGTAACATTATAAACGTCTTCACCGGCACTTTTGATCAATTTAATGTATCCTTGCTGAATAGAAGTATTTAGTTAAGAAAAGATCTTACCACAAACCTTTGAATGGTAGTGTTTCACAGTTTCTCAAAAATATGAAGCAAAAACTGATATTGATAATCATCGTTTCTTGAGCAGCAAATCAGCATATCAGAATGATTTCTGAAGATCATGTGACACTGTAGACTGGAGTAATGATGCTGAAAATTCAGCTTTGATCACAGGAATAAATTACATTTTACAATATATTCACATAGAAAACAGTTCTTTTAAATTGTAATAATATTCTAGAATATTTCTGTATTTACTGTATTTGTAGTCAAATAAATGCAGCCTTCGTGAGCAGAAAATACTTATTTTGAAAACATTAAGAAAAAAACTTTTGGTAGTGAATATATTAACATATATGCATTATCCAAAGCGACTTGTATCGCATTAAAGCTATCCATTTTATCAGTTCAGGCATTCCATGGGAATCTAACTCATGACCTTGAAGTCGCTAGTGCAAAAAATGTACTGTAGTCATTAGTGTTGTGCAGTGCAGTGTGGCATTACTGTACCATGATGTTGGGCAGTGTGGCGTATCTGGGAGTGTTGAGACGGAGGTCAGCGGTCACCACGGCTGGCAAATTGATCTTAATGGTCTCCAATCCACCATCAACTTCTCTCACCACCTTCAGCTTGTCTGCTTCTAAGGTCATCTCAGATGCAAAGGTTCCCTAAAAAAAAATTATAAAATGATAATCCATTAATAGTTTTATTTGGGAGTCACTATCCCCAACTCAAAGTGGCATAACAGGCAGCGAAAACATCTTCTGAAGAAAATGCTATGGTGCTCAAATCCATATTAATAGTGATGCTTTTCTTATCAATCATCACTAAATATACAGATGGGAACAAGATGTCTCACTTGCGGCCAGTCCAACAACGCTGCTGTAATCTGTCCAGTTTGATTGCAGTCATCATCTATGGCCTAGATGAGAAATATTACCATGATATCATGAAAGCCATTGATTTATATTCAGTAATTTGTTAATGTAGTAATTGTTAACCGTCAGCTACCTGTTTACCCAAAATGATCAGATCGGCTTGCTCTTTCTTAGCGAGAGCAGCGAAAATCTTGGAGACCTGCAGGGGACCAAGCGTCTCGTAGTCCTTTCCGGACACTTCCACGTGTATGCCACGGTCTGCACCCATGGCCAGAGCCGTCCGGATCGTCTCCTACAACACAGATATTACTGTAAGGATGCTGATTAATGATTTAATAATATAAATATATGTAATGTATTTCAAAAGTTTGGGGTCAGTACATTTTTTTTTTTTTTTTGAAAGAAGTCTCACCAAGGCTGCATTTATTTGATCAAAAATATGGTAAAACGGTAATATTGTAAAATATTACTACAATTTAAAATAATTATTTTCTATTTGAATATATTGTGAAATGTAATTTATTCCTGTGATGCAAAGCTGAATTTTAAGCATCATTACTCCAGTCTTCAGTGTCACATGATCTTCAGAAATCATTCTAATATGCTGATTTGCTGCTCAAGAAACATTTATTATTTTAAATGTTTTTATTTTTGCGGAAACTGTAATACATTTTTTCAGGATTCGTAAATGAAGAACAGCATTTACATAAAGTAATGAAGTATCTAGTTGTTTTTAAATTATTTTTTATTATTAATGAAAGATTTTGAATTTTTCGTATAAATATATGAATGTGATATTTCCTAAACCAGTGTTTCCCAACCTTTTTTTAGTCGCGGCACTCTTTGGAAATTTTAACAAACTTGTGGCACCCTACAAAATTAATTTTGTCACAATATTTGAATTTCTAACTTTGATGTGATAATTTGAAAAGTATAGATATTCGGTACAACAGGGAAGAACTGCAGAATATAATGTCATACAGATATTTTTATATTATTACAAAATTTTGTCCATCAATGGTGAACTAATTTTCGGCAGCCGAAATTTTGGTGCATCTCTAATTATTGGCGACATTAGAAATGGATATTATATAATAGATGCTTTTTTGAACATTTAAGCAATTAAAAAACATTAAAAAATTATTTTTATTCACGGCACCCCGGTTGGGAAACACTGTCCAAGACAGTCACTGTGAATTTTTTTATAACTAATAATTTCCCTCAGTTTTGGCAACTTTTCCATCACGGCCAATACTAATAACTTTAAACAGTGTCCCTCACCAATAAAAGTTACATTTAGTGTCTATCACCAAGGAGAAACATCAGCAAGTTTGAGTATTTCTGACCTGAACCTGCTGAGGACCACAGCTGACAGCCACAACCTCCTTAACAAGCTTCTTCTCCTTGAGTTTGATGGCCTCCTCCACCGCAATCTCACAGAAGGGGTTCATCGAATGCTTGACGCCGTCTGTAACCACTCCAGTGCGGTCAGGCTTGACTCGGATCTGAGGTGGACAGAGACACAGAAACGGTGCTGAAACTTAAAGAACGTACACACTGCCATCATATGACTTTTCATTCGTAGCTGAACTTTTACTTTAATAAATGTTTTCAGCTGTACATGTATTGTACGGTCAGTTAGGACTGGACAGTGACTTTCACAAGGCTGCCCAAAACATTCACAGCCTCTCGTATTTAAGTAAGAGGCGACATGTTTAACCTCAGATGACCTGTGCATGTACTATGCCAAGGGTGGCACGGAGGAAATCATTTCATAACCCAGACTGATCGGTCTATAACCCAACAGCTGATATTAGCAGTACTACTGAGGCCACACATTCCCGGATCAATATCCCTATATAAGGGTTACTTTGAACCAGACCAGAGGTTTCACAAAAACACAGCTCATATACACAATAAACATACGTCCAGATCATTGGAACTGCTTTGAAAAGATCATAATGACACAGATTTGAGATATTTGACGCTGTATTATTGACAATCAGACTGATCAATACGACCTAACGATTAATAAATTACAACGTAGTAACTCATCTGTTATCGGATTACTTGATAATGGCCAAAACAGAAGAGCACAAGACCAAAGATTAAAGACCAAACCAGCAAATAAGCATTTAGATCACGTGTTCATCCACTTTTAGATGCCAAAAATGTAGGCTAATGCAATTAAATCTAACAGAAAATACAATGCTTTAAAACACTTTTAACTGCAACTTAGAATAGTCCATATGTTCATTTAATCAGTATTTGCAATTATTTTTGTCATATAAGATTTTGACTTCACATAAAAGGCCGTTTTATAAAATAATGTGAAATAAATGTTCACAACCTGCATACTGCATTAATCAAAATATATACGTAATATGCACATCAATCTATCTATCTATCTATAAATAATACACACATTTAATTTTTTAGTAACACTTTACAATAAGGTTTCATCAGTTAACTACTTCAGTTAGCATGAACTAAGAATGAACACTACTTCTACAGCATTTATTAATCCTAGTTAATATAAATGTCAACATTTACTAATGCATTATTAAAATCAACATTAGTTAATGCACTGTGTATTAACATGAACTAGCAATGAACAACTCTATTTGTATCAACTAGCATTAACAATGTTTAATAAATACTGTAATAAATGTATTGTTCATGTTAGTTAATACATTAACTAACATTAACTAATGGAACCTTATTGTAAAATGTTACCAATTTTTTTTTTTATTAAATGATTTTAAAAATCAATCCATCTCAAAAGTGACAATTTGTTAAATGGTGCTTCCCATCACTTTAATATATCTAATAAATGACAAAAAGCTATTTTCACACATACTAAATAATATATGAACACACACATACATACATATATACAGTGGGGAAAAAAAGTATTTAGTCAGCCACCAATTGTGCAAGTTCTCCCACTTAAAAAGATGAGAGAGGCCTGTAATTTTCATCATAGGTATACCTCAACTATGAGAGACAAAATGAGAAAAAAAACAGCCTGGTGCAGGTCTACAGTTTTGTTTCTGGTGTCCTTTGACAGCTCTTTGGTCTTGGCCATGGTGGAGTTTGGAGTGTGCCTGTTTGAGGTTGTGGACAGGTGTCTTTTATACTGATAACGAGTTCAAACAGATGCCATTAATACAGGTAACGAGTGGAGGACAGAGGAGCCTCTTAAAGAAGAAGTTACAGGTCTGTGAGAGCCAGAAATCTTGCTTGTTTGTAGGTGACCAAATACTTATTTTACCGAGGAATTTACCAATTAATTCTTTAAAAATCCTACAATGTGATTTTCTGGATTTTTTTCCTCATTTTGTCTCTCATAGTTGAGGTATACCTATGATGAAAATTACAGGCCTCTCTCATCTTTTTAAGTGGGAGAACTTGCACAATTGGTGGCTGACTAAATACTTTTTTGCCCCACTGTATATACATACATACATACATACATATATATACACATATACATATATAAAATTGCCTATATGCAATTACATTTATAAACAACAGACAGAAAATGAAAAATGGCCATTAATGTTGACCCATAACGTGTTGCCATGGAATATTAATAATGTAAACTTTAAAATAAAAAGCTAACTAGATGGGAAAACAATCAATAACACCCTACTTTAGGAATTCCTGCAATGACAATATTTGAATATGATATTTTCAGCTGTATTCATATGCAACCATATGCATGTTTGTAGTTACAGCTGAACAGGTGAAGCAGAACACAGCTCATTATTAATATTGCACGGCCATAATTGTAAGGAGTTCAGCAGATATGAATTCAAACATCAATAACAACAACACTGACCTTCACCAAACAAACAACCCAGCTCTCTCATGTCGAACCTCATTCAACCTAAAGCCAGCTCTTTACCATCTAAGATAGGGCAACTCAGAGTTTATTCATAATTAAAAGCATTTGTGTGTGTTTCCTGAAAGACTGTCTGTTGTGTACCTTGACAGCATAGTCAATGACCCGTTTAACTCCGACCAGAACCCGGGCGCTCATCGTGACTCTTCCTCCTCTGCTCTGTCTGACGGAGTGAAGCCGGAGCGGCTTTGGTGTGACACCATTTGAGGCGGGCTTTAAAGCACGCCCATTCTGTGAGCCAATAGAATCGCTCAGATCAGAGAGCTGTCAATCAAAAGCCGAGCAGTGGCCAATCAGGTACTCCGAGTGTTCCTGCACTCCAGCGCTGCGACTGAAACGGATCGTTCCTTTATAAGTAGATTAAAGGTCGTGGGGCTGTTGTTACTAAACGCGGGGCCGACAGCAGATCTAGACCTCACTACAATAAATGAAACTTTCACAACAAGTGATGAGAGAACTCACGTTGCTGAGAACCAAATATAATCGTAAAATGATTCACTGAAGCTCTCGGAGCAGCAGATTAAAGCACATCTGCTGGTCACAATGAAAAACTCCAGTCAAAAGTAGCTATGCACCTTTTCTATGTAAAATAAGGAGTTAGAAATCTTGTGTAATAAAACATTTTACACAGTGTCGATTTCTTAAAGTTGCTCCAAATTATGTGGGGAAAATGTGCATCTGCGTATTGTATTTACTGTAAGATAAATCCTTTGAAATATCATATTATCAGAAGATTATTTTTCTTTAGCCCTAAAAAGTGTGATTTCATAGCTACAGATAAAGCACAAATGTTAATTCCAAAGCGATTTAAAGAATTATTTTTCTTTTCCAGAATACAATATGTATATCATATTTATTATGTATTGTTTTTGATAACATGCATCATGTTATAACTCATCCTCACTCTCGCAAAATATTGCTGTATTCATTTTCTGAAAAGAAGAAATCATTTTGTATTTTATACATAAATACAAGTATACTACAGCAAACACTTCAAATAAATAAATCACTGCAATCGTATTATTGATGCTACGATCAATAGAAAAATCCCAGTGGTGAAATACATCACTGTGGTACAGCATTGTGATATTTTCTCAATTTACAGCAAAACTGTGTTAGATAAAGTTAAACTGTGAATACAAATATCTAATTTACTTAACAAAGATGCTGCAAAAAAATCCCCATTGAGAAGAGATGTTTAGAAAAGAGCAATTTTGGACCACAGGTGTCTTCTGTGAGGGTGACAGTGGGAAAAAGAGTTTTGGACAGACATTCAAATGGCATGTGACTTAAAAACAGCACTTCATAGTCTACCTTAAGGCCTGCCATTTTAATTACCATAGTGCAATATATTGTATTTTTTTTTTCAGAATAACAAGGAAATGAGTAGAAATGAATTCTTGCCATATGGCAACTCCCTACCATAAAGGGTTAAATACAATGTTTATATTTCCATACTCCAGTTCAGTTGGTGGCAGTAATGCAGCACGAGCTGGTTTACCATTAAACCTCACATGAAGAAGATGTGTCACATGACTGGAGTGTTTGTGCCCGTGATCAGCCTTGAGAGAGCCAGAGCATTGATGGATCAGCTGGAGTTCAACTCACACACTTCAGTCAGGTAATGCATTACACTTCCAGCAGCTCAGGGCTCGTGCAATGCACATTACTGCAGAAAGTCAAGGGAGGTGTGTCATGCATGCAGGAAATGTCATGCACTGTAAGTTTGTGAAGGCACAGAGTTATTCAATTTAATGCAATTTGATTGTGGATGCATTGTGTATCTTCTGCAATTGGGGATGCATACCAAAGTTTTACTGGTCCTCTAAATTGTTTTGTATATTTTAGAGACCAACATCTGCTGTGAAGTTAAACAAAGTGATTAAAAAAAACAAGTTTTGAATGTAATTCAATAATTATATTGTGCTTTTATGTGTCACAGGAACAAGAAGTTTATCTGCAGTCACAAATATAGAGAAAATAAGTTGTACAAATAGCTGAAGGTATGTCTGTCATTAAGTCGTATTCATCACACATGCTTTTTTTTCGCTCCATGATGCACGCTTTATTTGTTACAGTTTTCTCTTTTCCTGATTTTTTACTTTATTCCCAAGATATTTGCTTTATAGTGTAGGGGACATGAAATGTAATTTATTTTAAACTTTTCTTTGTTTGTTTTTGCTAATTCTTTATTATACATGGCATGATATGTGCTGTACATTATAAATCATATTAATTGAGAGACCTTTGGACTATTACTCATGAATAATATAACCTTAATTTTTTTTTTTTTAATGAACACAAATGGAAACTACCCATCCGCTGAATCATTTTCTTGATGCAGGCGCAGCAGCCAGTGTTCCTCATCCTTTAGCTTATGTGGATGGCAACATTCACTATCAGTTTCACACAACTTGAGTCTGGCAACTTTTCCATCACTGCCAATAACTTTAGACAAAAAAAGGTGAGTTTCCTTTTAGTGTCATCAAAGATAAATCCTTTATTAGAGTCAAGCTTTTTGAAAGAAAGATTGAACCAATGTCTTTGTCAAAGACTTTGAATCTCTCTGTTTGTCTGACAGTTTATTTCACATTTCGGTCAAGAACCTGTCTGCTCTTACCACAAAATCCCCTCTATATAAAATGAAAAAATATTTAAATAAATAAACAATAATAATGCTCTTATATGTAGGATTTATTTCTTTATGCATATCTATTTTATTTTGGGCGGTGAGATATAACTGGGAAAATTTTATTTATTTATTATTTTATTTGAGCTTTGTTTAGTTTTCTTTCGTTCATTCATTCTTTCTTTAGAAGTTTAGTTTTTGTTGGTTTTTTTTTATTTGAAAACTTACTAAATTGCAGACAAGTCTCAAGTTACAGAAATGTGAAATGTTTTTTAATTTAATTTAAATTTAATGTTTTTTTATTAATTTTTTTAACTGGTGAGAAGATCTTTTACATCCCCTTAAACCAAAATAAATTTGAAGAAATGTAAAACTGTCTATTAAATGTAAAGAGTGTTATTTCTGTGCCACAAAATGAACGACTATCGACTTTAAATATCGACTTTGTTGAGTAAATATTCGGCCAGTAACTTCATTAGGAATTGCAACATAATAAATACATGGCATTAATCAAATTATTAAAATAATAGTCTGACATACAGTATATGAATGAATAAAATCGAAGACATACATATATCTACTAATATAATAATGACCATTTCCAATCACGTTTCAGACACTCAAACATGCTTGTTTTCCATTGTTTTAGCAGATAATCCAATCGCAAGCTCATGCCATTGCTTGAGACAATATTATTATGTCCTCTGTCCATTCAGGCCACTCAGACAAAATAGGTTGCAATTCCATTTCGTGCCACTGGTGGTGCTGAATTTCCACACTTTACCTTATACTGTGGTTCTTTAGCTTAACACAGTACAGTCTTCTGTGCACTTACATACTGAAGTCACTTCCTCTGTATAAAGTGTTTTTAATATGAAGAGACAGATGAATAGACCTGTAGTGTAAATAAAAAACATCTTCAGTTCAAAAACACTTTTTGTTGTTTTGCATTAGCACTGATAAAGCATTTCACTTCCTTCATGGTGTCTTGTCAGACGCTTTACCCCGTGTTGTGTGTTCTTCCCTCTGTGGTGTGACAGACGCGACGCTGCGGAGTCCTGACTTAATTAAAGCTTACCTGAGGGAAGGTGCACGCGGAGAACAGTTGTGTCACTAAGCTAAAGTTGGGCCTCGTCACAGACGGCAGCTGTTTGTAGCACTGCAATTTATAACCTAATGAACACAGCCGAGGCCGCGACTCCCCTGAGATCAGACGCGAAGGGCAAAGAGACCTTACACAGATATCTGCCAATCCTCAATACTAGCTTTAACTTTACAAAGCTGGGACTAAGGCCTTTGGTCGCTCCATTCACCCCTAACCAAATAAGGAGGACGAGGAAAAAAAGACAGTTCTCCACCCTCATTTTTTCCCGGAGTCTGCTCCAGTGTTGGCTCCAGTCCCAGAGCTCGCGCCAGTGTCTGCTCTAGCCCCAGAGCTCGCGCCAGTGTCGGCTCCAGCCCCAGAGCTCGCTCCAGTGTCGGCTCCAGCCCCAGAGCTCGCTCCAGTGTCGGCTCCAGCCCCAGACCTCGCTCCAGTGTCTGCTCCAGCCCCAGAGCTTGCGCCAGTGTCTGCTCCAGCCCCAGCCCCAGAGCTCGCTCCGGTGTCGGCTCCAGCCCCAGAGCTCGCTCCTCGAAAGCGCCCTCCAAAGCACCCTCCAGAGCCCGCTCCTTGAAAGCGTCCTCAAGCGTCCTACTTTTATTAATCAATCCCAAACAAAAATGAATCTTGAATTGAATTATGAAAAAAATGAATTATTATTATTATTATTATTATTTCATAGCAGTACATTTTAAATCATAGCTTTAGAGATAGATTTGTAATCTTTAATAAAATTAACTTTACTAAAAGGCAGCTAAATTTTATTTAGTATTTGTTCTTTATTTGTTTTTATGTATTTTTTGTAATATTTTTTATTTATTTATTATTTTATGTTATCTTTGTTTAGTTTTCTTTAGTTCATTTGTTTGTTTGTTTGTTCTTTCTTTTTTTGGTTTAGTTTTTGTTTTTTGTTTTTTTTGGACTTGAATATATTATGTTTTGTAAAAATAAGATTGCAAGCCTTGTAAAATACCTACATTGAGATATTGAAGCTAAGACATATATCAAATAATGATTTATATTTTATTCCATTTTATTTTGTTTAGCATTTGTTCTTTATTTGTGATTTAATGTTTTTTTTAGTAGTTTATTTTTAAGTTTTGAAGGTTGCAGATCACTGAGATATTGAAGTGAAGAAATATATGAAATATTGCATATTATTTCATTTTTTTCCCATTATTACTGTAGGAAAATGGACAGTCTGCTGCGCACTCCTAGAGACGAGAGGAGAAGAGCACAACATAATGAAGGTCAGTGAATTATCATAATCTAGTCTTTGTAAATGAAAGCAAAGCATCAGGACCTGGATAACTAATTCTGTGTCCACTCCAAAGATATTGATACTGAAGAACGAATCTCAGCAGGCATTGATGTAAATCCTCCTGTAGAGGCCAGTAGAGCGTTGATGGACTGAACATGTATTGCAATTTAGACAATATGGCCTAGATTTTGCCTCTGATCGTTCTTGTTGTTGATGTGCAGTTGAAAGGCGACGGCGAGACAAAATCAACAACTGGATTGTGGCGCTCTCAAAAATCATCCCAGACTGCAGCATAGACGGCACCAAGATTGGAGGGGTGAGCTGCATGATGCTTTTGTCACTCAAATGAAGATCTGACCTTAGAATTGACCTGTTCTTTTACAATAGATGCTTTGAAACTGCATCTCTCTCTTAAATGCATTGCATTTCTTGTTCCTCCAGAGTAAAGGTGGGATCTTGTCAAAGGCGTGTGATTACATTGGCGAGCTGAAGCAACATAACCAGTGGCTGCAGGAGAGTTTGAGAGGAGTGGAGAGAGTGCAGATGGACAATGAGCTGCTCAGACAGCAGGTATGAAGCTCTTAAAGGGGTCATATGATGCGATTTCAATTTTTCCTTTCTCTTTGGAGTGTTACAAGCTCTTGGTGCATAAAGAAGATCTTTAAAGTTGCAAAGACTAAAGTCTCAAATTCAAAGAGATATTCTTTATAAAAGTTAAGAGTCAACCACGCCTACCTAAAACGGCTCATTCTAACACGCCCCCACATATTTACATCACTATGTGGGAAGATTTGCATAAAGCCGCCCAAATGTTCACTCAAAGAAAGAAGGCGTAACTTTTATTCTCGCTGTAGTATTGTTGCCGCCGCCGCCATGTCGTGAAGGCGCTGTGTGTTTTGTTGTGAAAGTGAAACTACTTTGTTTGGCCTTCCAAAAGAGGACGATATCCGCTTCGTCATGCCTAGAGCTGATCCGTACTGGTCGCTAATGAAATACATCTACTTCGCGCGGTGAATTGCCAGATCAGCTTTCACTGTGGATGAAGTGGAGTCCAGCCCGGGGTCGTCACATGTGGGGCAGTGGTCAGGATGGAAGGGTCCAGGTAAGGGGCGGAGTCCGGCGGCCGCACACGCTCCCCTCTCCAGTTCGGGACGGGAGGGGCGGCAGCTTCTTCCAGCGGCTGCATCATTCTCGCCTTGGCCCATGGTGCTTGAAGTGACTAGACGGCCCGGCCTCCTGGCCCGACGGCCGTGTAATGAGTGCGGTTCTCGTCCGGACCGCGGGTCTGGTAGCTCATGACTCTGGCGGCACGGGAGTCCCTCTATGCACACTTCCTGGACCCACGAGGACACCAGCGTGCATGCGCGGGGAAGAGACCGGTCTCCCGAGGAGAGGCGCGCTCGACATTTAAACAGCGGCGGTGATGAGGCTCTATTCGGTTCAGATGTGCCCCATCACACGGCGCCAGCCCTAGCTATTTCAGCGCCCCTCCTCTCTCACGCACCCACTCCCGTCGGGAGCCTGGCGAAGGGCGGCGATTAATGGACAGGGTGATGCTGATAATTAGGGGGAGGCAGCCGACTTGTCACATCCCCCCCCCTCCCCCAAGCGACATCCCCATCATCAGGTTGCCGCCCACACGGGAGTGCTACCATCCTCAACCAGGCTCCAAGCGGTCGGAGTGGGCGGGGCGGGGATTCCTTTCCGCGCAGTTCTCCCTCTCGCACCGCGCCGGAACAGGGACAGAGAAACCGGACGAGAGCTGCCAGCTCTAGCTATTTCAGCGCCCCTCCTCTCTCACGCACCCACTCCTGTCGGGAGCCTGGCAAAGGGCGGCAATTAAGGGACGGGGTGATGCTGATAATTAGGATAATTATAAAGTTTTTCATATTTAAAGAATTTGCCACTGACGATTCAAACGCGAGTTTTGAGCAGTGTAGAGTAGCGTTTGTAGTTTGTCATTTCTCTGATCACAAATGCAGTCATGGTTTTATGTTTGCGCGGCGCAATGCAACGCAACGCAACGCGTAAAAAGACAGAATAAGTCATTATAATCCATAATTATGTCTCCACTGGATGCAACAAATGCCTCGTTTATAATGGTTTTGAATGTTTTTGTCTTGTCGCTCTGGCCGGGACATGGCATCACAATATGGTGAGGGGCGTAACATTTCTGTCACACGCTTGAGGTATTCGGCCAATCACAACGCACTGGATAGCTGGCCAATCAGAGCACACCTCGCTTTTCAGACCGATGAGCTTTGTAAAAATCGACACGTTTCAGAAAGGCGGGGCATAGAGGAGAAACGTAATGGCCTACATTTCAGAAAAAAATAACATTTCGGAGAGGCTTTTATTAACAAAATAATATAACAGTGTCCAGGAAAAAGGGGAATCAAGTGTCCAAAATAAAACAGGGGATCTGGTGTCCTTGTCGTGATGCGGGGTTAGTGAAGGCGGGGCAGTGGTCAGGATGGAAGGGTCCAGGTAAGGGGCGGAGTCCGGCGGCCGCACACGCTCCCCTCTCCAGTTCGGGACGGGAGGGGCGGCAGCTTCTTCCAGCGGCTGCATCATTCTCGCCTTGGCCCATGGTGCTTGAAGTGACTAGACGGCCCGGCCTCCTGGCCCGACGGCCGTGTAATGAGTGCGGTTCTCGTCCGGACCGCGGGTCTGGTAGCTCATGACTCTGGCGGCACGGGAGTCCCTCTATGCACCCTTCCTGGACCCACGAGGACACCAGCGTGCATGCGCGGGGAAGAGACCGGTCTCCCGAGGAGAGGCGCGCTCGACATTTAAACAGCGGCGGTGATGAGGCTCTATTCGGTTCAGATGTGCCCCATCACACGGCGCCAGCCCTAGCTATTTCAGCGCCCCTCCTCTCTCACGCACCCACTCCCGTCGGGAGCCTGGCGAAGGGCGGCGATTAATGGACAGGGTGATGCTGATAATTAGGGGGAGGCAGCCGACTTGTCACATCCCCCCCCCTCCCCCAAGCGACATCCCCATCATCAGGTTGCCGCCCACACGGGAGTGCTACCATCCTCAACCAGGCTCCAAGCGGTCGGAGTGGGCGGGGCGGGGATTCCTTTCCGCGCAGTTCTCCCTCTCGCACCGCGCCGGAACAGGGACAGAGAAACCGGACGAGAGCTGCCAGCTCTAGCTATTTCAGCGCCCCTCCTCTCTCACGCACCCACTCCTGTCGGGAGCCTGGCAAAGGGCGGCAATTAAGGGACGGGGTGATGCTGATAATTAGGATAATTATAAAGTTTTTCATATTTAAAGAATTTGCCACTGACGATTCAAACGCGAGTTTTGAGCAGTGTAGAGTAGCGTTTGTAGTTTGTCATTTCTCTGATCACAAATGCAGTCATGGTTTTATGTTTGCGCGGCGCAATGCAACGCAACGCAACGCGTAAAAAGACAGAATAAGTCATTATAATCCATAATTATGTCTCCACTGGATGCAACAAATGCCTCGTTTATAATGGTTTTGAATGTTTTTGTCTTGTCGCTCTGGCCGGGACATGGCATCACAATATGGTGAGGGGCGTAACATTTCTGTCACACGCTTGAGGTATTCGGCCAATCACAACGCACTGGATAGCTGGCCAATCAGAGCACACCTCGCTTTTCAGACCGATGAGCTTTGTAAAAATCGACACGTTTCAGAAAGGCGGGGCATAGAGGAGAAATAATAATGTACAGTATGTGGAAAATAATGTGTTTTTTTAACCTTAAACCACATAAACACATTTCATTACACCAAATACACAAAATAATGTTCTTTTTAGCAACGTCATATGACCCCTTTAACATCACATTTAGCAAGCTTAGTTGCAATTTGTCACTAACCTTGTCATGTAATCCCCTATTCTTTGCATTGACATTCATTATTTTACACTGAATCAACATTTTCTTAAATATCTCTTTCCTAGGGACTATGTTCCTCAAGTCCGCTTAATTTTTTTTTCACCAAATACAGCCACAATTAGTTTTTTCCATTTGATGATCCTAAGAATTCAACAGGCTGTTTATGCTACTGTGCCGTTAAGACTACATGCAAATGAGCTTCTGTGATGGGTTAACCTCTTCACATGTGAAGTTATATTGTTGTTCATCAGTGGGCTGAAATGTGGGCGGGCATATGTTAATGAGCTCATGGTTGACATTATAATGTTAGGTTACGCCTACTTAATAAAAACATTTTTTTTAAAAAGCAAGCGAAATACTATCCGTTCTCCTTGAAATCTAATCCGAACATTTTACTTTCTATATAGAGATTTTAGATAATATTTCAACATTTTATGAAGGATCTTCAAACCATTTTCAGACCAAGGAACGCATGATGGATAGAGAGATGGAACAGGAACCCCTGGTTACATATATGTCTGGCCTAAATAAGCATGCATATACATGTTTTGACATCAAAGAGCCATTAAAATAAGCATTATTGATGTGCATTACATTTTATTTAATGCATTTCAATGGAATTCCCAAACATTTTACTAACTTTTCAACTTGATCTTAGGTTAAAGTTATTTTATTTTTGCTCAATACATAATTGCATTTGAGATCATATGAACAACACCCACTCTCCAAATAGACATACTCATTCATTTAGTACTATTTCACACACAATTTCATTCACAGACTCAAATCTCTCCTTTACTAGAAACCCAGGATCTTCACATATTAGCCTGACCTACAGCACCAAAAGAGGGTGACAAAGAGTGCAAAAAAATCCCCCAAAAGGATGTAATGTCTCCAGTGATTTAATTAAATTTAATGTAATTTATAATATTTTATTAATAATATTTGAATTTATTTTTTATACTATTTTTTTATTTTATAATTTATGTATTATATCATTTAAATATGATATTCATGTCTATTATGGCCTATATACATTTTCGCAATTTAAATATTTCTGTATTTATTCATTTTCGTGCGTTTCTTGCTGCCTGTATGATAATAAGAGGGCGTGGCTACGCTTTCAACCAAATAGTGTCGCAGTTTCTCTCTGAAGAACGCGCATCATCAGCAGCAGCAGGAGGAAGAGGAGGAGGAGGAGGAGGAGGAAGAGGCGAGCATCCTTCATGATTCTGCATTAAAGCCGCACTCTATATAACAATCCCCGGGCCTTCACGGATCCAGCCGCAGCTCTGCGTGAACACCACACACTCAATCATGGATAATTCCGGGAAAGAGAAGGAAGCCATGCAGCTGATGGCAGAGGCGGACAAAAAAGTCAAATCATCAGGTTCATTTCTCGGAGGGATGTTCGGGTGAGACAGCAGCGATGCTGCTCACGATCTGACATTCAAAGACATCCAATGTCCTGTAGTCTTTTCACATTGCATATGTCTGTGTCGTGTAAATATCATATTATTTGTCTATTCTTTACCATACAACGTATACAAATGAGTATCCATCCATGCGTTTCTCAGTATCTCCAATGTCAAATATTTCCGTGATGCGACATGCACAATGCAATGCAACTGCTCTGTGCTTTATGCACAGGGGCTTATTATTGCACTATATTGATTTCGAAATGGCATTAAATCAGAAATGTTGATGTTTTCACAGGGGAAATCATAAGGTTGAGGATGCATGTGAAATGTATGCCAGAGCTGCCAACATGTTCAAGATGGCCAAAAACTGGAGTGGTATGCATAAGTCAATTCATGTTTATGAATACTTCATTTAATGCTTAATATTTAGTTATGCGGTTGGGCTGTTGCAACATATTCAGTTAAAAGCTTCATTCAAATGATCAAAGTGTCGCTGGCCGTCTTTGTGTTTTAACTGCATTACACTTGTATTGTCATCATTGTGCTTTGATTCGTATTGAATCTATTTTAAGCATTCACTCTGCCTCTGTGCCATTATTGGCATTGATCTAAAGACTGATGTGTTTTGCTGCTGTAGCTGCAGGCAGTGCTTTCTGCCAAGCTGCAAGACTTCACATGCAGATGCAGAACAAACTGGACTCGGCCACCAGCTTCGTCGATGCTGGAAATGCTTATAAGAAGGCAGATCCTCAAGGTGAGAGAGTTTCTTTAATCGCTGCAAAAAAAACGGGAGTGCTACCATCCTCAACCAGGCTCCAAGCGGTCGGAGTGGGCGGGGCGGGGATTCCTTTCCGCGCAGTTCTCCCTCTCGCACCGCGCCGGAACAGGGACAGAGAAACCGGACGAGAGCTGCCAGCTCTAGCTATTTCAGCGCCCCTCCTCTCTCACGCACCCACTCCTGTCGGGAGCCTGGCAAAGGGCGGCAATTAAGGGACGGGGTGATGCTGATAATTAGGATAATTATAAAGTTTTTCATATTTAAAGAATTTGCCACTGACGATTCAAACGCGAGTTTTGAGCAGTGTAGAGTAGCGTTTGTAGTTTGTCATTTCTCTGATCACAAATGCAGTCATGGTTTTATGTTTGCGCGGCGCAATGCAACGCAACGCAACGCGTAAAAAGACAGAATAAGTCATTATAATCCATAATTATGTCTCCACTGGATGCAACAAATGCCTCGTTTATAATGGTTTTGAATGTTTTTGTCTTGTCGCTCTGGCCGGGACATGGCATCACAATATGGTAAGGGGCGTACCATTTCTGTCACACGCTTGAGGTATTCGGCCAATCACAACGCACTGGATAGCTGGCCAATCAGAGCACACCTCGCTTTTCAGACCGATGAGCTTTGTAAAAATCGACACGTTTCAGAAAGGCGGGGCATAGAGGAGAAACAATAACGTACAGTATGTGGAAAATAATGTGTTTTTTTAACCTTAAACCACATAAACACATTTCATTACACCAAATACACAAAATAATGTTCTTTTTAGCAACGTCATATGACCCCTTTAACATCACATTTAGCAAGCTTAGTTGCAATTTGTCACTAACCTTGTCATGTAATCCCCTATTCTTTGCATTGACATTCATTATTTTACACTGAATCAACATTTTCTTAAATATCTCTTTCCTAGGGACTATGTTCCTCAAGTCCGCTTAATTTTTTTTTCACCAAATACAGCCACAATTACTTTTTTCCATTTGATGATCCTAAGAATTCAACAGGCTGTTTATGCTACTGTGCCGTTAAGACTACATGCAAATGAGCTTCTGTGATGGGTTAACCTCTTCACATGTGAAGTTATATTGTTGTTCATCAGTGGGCTGAAATGTGGGCGGGCATATGTTAATGAGCTCATGGTTGACATTATAATGTTAGGTTACGCCTACTTAATAAAAACATTTTTTTTAAAAAGCAAGCGAAATACTATCCGTTCTCCTTGAAATCTAATCCGAACATTTTACTTTCTATATAGAGATTTTAGATAATATTTCAACATTTTATGAAGGATCTTCAAACCATTTTCAGACCAAGGAACGCATGATGGATAGAGAGATGGAACAGGAACCCCTGGTTACATATATGTCTGGCCTAAATAAACATGCATATACATGTTTTGACATCAAAGAGCCATTAAAATAAGCATTATTGATGTGCATTACATTTTATTTAATGCATTTCAATGGAATGGGACAATTAAACATTTTACTAACTTTTCAACTTGATCTTAGGTTAAAGTTATTTTATTTTTGCTCAATACATAATTGCATTTGAGATCATATGAACAACACCCACTCTCCAAATAGACATACTCATTCATTTAGTACTATTTCACACACAATTTCATTCACAGACTCAAATCTCTCCTTTACTAGAAACCCAGGATCTTCACATATTAGCCTGACCTACAGCACCAAAAGAGGGTGACAAAGAGTGCAAAAAAATCCCCCAAAAGGATGTAATGTCTCCAGTGATTTAATTAAATTTAATGTCATTTATAATATTTTATTAATAATATTTGAATTTATTTTTTATACTATTTTTTTATTTTAAACTATTTAATTTTATTTTATTGTTTTTATTTATTTTTTTGTTTTTACTTTAGTTTTTATACTATTTTATACTCATTTATTTTTATTTTTAAATTATTATTTTATTTTATGCTACTTTTATTTAGTTTCACACTAATTTATTTGATCTTGTTTTATACTATTTTATTTTATTATTTTATTTATATTATTTAATTTAACTTTATTTGATTCCTTCCTGTAGATCAAGCAGTAGAGTATGTATTAGAAATGGCACAATGTTTATTTTATTTTATTTTATTTTATATTTGTAAAAATGTATAGCTTCAATGCAATGTACGTCGTGTTGGATAAAAGCATCTGGCAAATGCATAAATGTGCACATCTAAAACATTTGCCTCTACATTTTCAGAATTAATAATCATTTTCCGTGTTATTGCTTTCAGTTAGAGGAGCTCGAGAGCGAGAATGCCCTTCTGCAAGCACTGCTGGACCATCATGGCATTTACACGATCACAGACGCCTCGGCACAATGAGCCTCGGGCATTCTGGGAAAGAGATTCTGGCCAATCCAGATGAAAAAAGGCCCTCAGAGAATGACATCGACTGAAGTGGGCCGAATGACACACGCTGGCTTGTGCTCAAGAGTCTGTCTCAGTGACTGGATCATCTTCAGCGCTGGATGTCTGATATTGTCTGATATATGTCTGATATAGTCACACTTGCTGCAGATGAGGTCAAAGGTCAAGAAGATTCCATTAGAACCAAAACCAGGTGCCCATAATCCTAAAAGGGGCTATTTATTCTTCCTAACTAACTTCCAACTAAACAGTGGAATGTAGTTTAGACAGCTTTCATTATGTTTTTTTGTTTTGTTTGTTTTCTCCACTCTGTAATATACCCCAGAAATTTTCCTTTTGCTTTTCCTAATTTTCCAGCTTTGTTGCTTTCAATTTTGTCTTCATGCTTTACTTGAAGTATTAGAGTCTGATATATGTCTGATATAGTCACACTTGCTGCAGATGAGGTCAAAGGTCAAGAAGATTCCATTAGAACCCAAACCAGGAGCCCATAATCCTAAAAGGGGCTATTTATTCTTCCTAACTAACTTCCAACTAAACAGTGGAATGTAATTTAGACAGCTTTTGTTGTGTTTTTTTGTTTTGTTTGTTTTCTCCACTCTGTAATATACCCCAGAAATTTTCCTTTTGCTTTTCCTAATTTTCCAGTTTTGTTGCTTTCAATTTTGTCTTCATGCTTTACTTGAAGTATTAGTTGTTTGTTCAATGCTCTCCTTAATTTAAAATTCTCCCGGAGAAAATCTGCCGCTTTGTGGTGTTTCGGAAGGTCGTTACGGGATGAATGAAGCCGTGATGAAATGTCATTAGCGGTTCCAGTGAGATCTAGTGTTAAAATCGGAACAAAAGCACCTGCACGTACTGAAAACCCACTGAAAGAAAGCTCTGATGCAAGAAAATGAGCTCCGTCTGGGATTATTAGCTTCTTATCTCGGATCGCCTCCGGAAGACTGTTCGGAAAGCATCTCAGAAGCAAATGAGAAAATGTTCACAAAGCTGTCGAGGATGCTTTGGAGCTAAATGCTGGACATCTCAGGACTGAAGAAATGTTTGTGATTGTGTGTTAGAGGTTTATTCCGTTACCTTAACCTAATCGCCAGTTCCAAAAGCCCTGAAATTGTCTTGGTTCCTCAAAAGTTATGGTTTTGTTGTTAGTTTACTTGGTTGAAAGTGCCTGAACTTTTTGTGTCATATTTATATAAACAGCTTTAAGAGTTTTGTTCCAAACTGTTATTTGTCTTCATAATTCAAGTCATTATTCATTGATTAACCATTGCTCTCAAATCAAATATGGCGGCAAGAAACGTGAAAACCAATGAAGTTTCCATATTTGATTTCAAAAGCGACAGCAAAGATTTTCAGTGAATAAAGACTTTGTTCTGTTCCTCATATAAATCTGTTGAATGATTTCAGAAAACTTGGGATATAGGGAACAAGTTTGGACTATTTTTATTTTATTTTATATTCTTTTTTTATTATTATGTTTTAATTTAAGTATTTTTTATTTGATTATGTTTTAATTGTATTATTATTTATTTGATTTGATTTTATTATGTTTTAATTTCATTATTTTTAATTTTATTTTACTTTTTTATTTTATTATTTGTTCTATTCCTCACGTGAATCTGTTGAGTGATTTCAGAAAATAGTGCACAAGTTGTTTGTACTATTTCATTTCATTTTATTTTCGGGTCCAAAGCCCTAATTAACATGATGGACTGTCTTTGATTATAAGTAGGCATATTTGCAATCCACAAATGTTACAAATAGCCATTTTGTTCTTATTTTACTTGGCTGAACTTTTTTGTGCCATATTTATGTAACCATCTTTTACTGTTATTTTTCTCCACCATCCAAGTCATTATTCACTGATTAACCATTGCTTTCAAATCAAATATGGCACCAAGAGATATATGCTTTGATGTGATACATTTTAAAGGTTCCATATTTGAATTAAAAAGTGACAGCAAATATTTTCAGTGAAGAAAGACTTTGTTCTGTTCCATGCATAAATCTGTTGAATGACTTCATAAGATGCTGTTTGGACTATTTTTATGGTGTTCTTGTCATTTTTGGAGCTTGACAGACGTGGTCACTATGATTGAATGGAAAAGAGCTGCATGAAGATTCTTCAGTTCTCCGTTTGTGATCCATTTAAGAAAGTAAATGACATTAACTTTTATTTCTGGGTGAACTGTTCCTTTAAGACCTCACAGCCAAGGAAAACAATATACATGACTAAAAATAACTCTTAGCATACTGATGACTGTGCAGTTATTAATAGACTACAGCGTCTGTTGTTTTAAGTGAACCCCTTCATTTCTGCAAGATAAATATCACACCTTCTCTAAAGGACTGTTAGCAGATTGCTGCATTATGATAATTATTTTGTAATAAATGCTGCCCTTAACGGCAGTGATTACCCTAGTGGCCTTACAGCTGACCGAAAAATAAACAGTGAGAAATAACTGCAGGAATTTGAATATGACCGTAAACCCTTCTCTGAGAGGCAGAGCAACTTTACTCTGCATCATTTTTACAGTCTCTTCATAAACTTTGTTTCAAAGTAATGGTCTGTGAAGGTCTACTGGACACGGACATTAGGCATGTTTCATTGCAGCTAAGGTTATTTAAACACCTCCTTGGCTTTTTATATGCATTCTAATAATTTGAAGTTTCAGCATCCTAACAATTGGCACGAGAAAACATGATAATATTGTCTCCAGAGCTTAAACTAACCGACTGAGCTTTGAGGGAATTGTTGAATTATTTTGAACGCCATGAAGAGTAGCCAGTGTGGGCTTTTCAAATGAATAAAAATCATTATTTATATTCATCTCTATAATACGTTTTAGGGCTGTGCCCATATAGATAAAAAAAAGTAAAATATATACACTACCGGTCAAAAGTTTGGGATCAGAACGATTTTTTATGTTTTTTACAGGACTTTCTTCTTCTCATCAAGGCTGCATTTATTTTATCAAAAATACAGGAAAAATTTAATATTGTGAAATATTATTATGATGTAAAATAACGTTTTTCTATTTTGATATACATTAAACTGTAATTTATTCCTGTGATGTAAAGCTGAATTTTCTGCATCATTACTCCAGTCTTCAGTGTCACATGATCTTCAGAAATCATTCTAATATACTGATTTATTATCAGTGCTAGAAACCGTTGTGATGCTTCATATTTTTCTGGAACCTGTGATACTTTTTTCAGGATTCTTTGATGAATAAAAAGTTAAAAAGAAGAGCATTTATTTAAAATAGAAATCTTTTCTAACAATATACACAACACAGTTCGAAAGTTTGGGGTCAGTACATTTTTATTCATACTTTTTTTTGAAAGAAATTAAAACTTTTATTCAGTAAGGATGTGTTAAATTGATAAGAAGGGATAGCAAAGATTTATATTGTTAGAAAAGATTTATATTTTGAATAAATGCTGTTCTTTTTAACGGAAGATTTGCATAATCTTTTTATGCAAATTTTTGCACAAATGTTCACGCAAAGAAAGAAGGTGTAACTTTGATTCTCGCTGTAGTATTGTTGTTGCCGCCGCCGCCATGTCGTGAAGATGCTTTGTGTTTCGTTGTGAAAGCGAAACTACTTTGTTTGGTCTTCCAAAAGAGGACACCACTAGAAATCAGTGGTTAAGTTGTATTTACAACACTGTTCCAGAACACTTCAACCCAAATATTCAGATGTGTCCAAGCGCATTTTATGGAGGACTGTTTCCTGATCCTGGAAGATTAGGCTACAATGCCGGCTGTTCTGACTCTCAGACTGTAAGTAAATTTTTTTATATTTAAAGAATTTGCCACTGATGATTCAATCGAGAGTTTTGGGCAGTGTAGAGTAGCGTTTGTTGTTTGTCATTTCTCCGATCACAAATGCAGACATGGTTTTATGTTAACGCGGTGCGATGCAACGCAACGCGTAAAAAGACAGAATAAGTCATTATAATCCATAATTATGTCTCCACTGGATGCAACAAATGCCTCGTTTATAATGGGTTTTCATGTTTTTGTCTCGTTGCTCTGGCCGGGACAGGGCATCATCACAGTATGGTGAGGGGCGTAACATTTCCGTCACACGCTTGAGGTATTCGGCCAATCACAATGCACTGGATAGCTGGCCAATCAGAGCACACCTCGCTTTTCAGAATGATGAGCTTTGTAAAAATCGACGCGTTTCAGAAAGGCGGGGCATAGAGGAGAAACAATAATGTACATTATGTGGAAAATAATGTGTTTTTTGAACCTTAAACTGCATAAACACATTTCATTACACCAAATACACAAAATAATGTTCTTTTTAGCAGCATCATATGACCCCTTTAAAACTGAGGATTCTGAGTATGTATCTTGATATTTATGTGTTTTGTCTGATTTGACTTAAAAAATATTTATTTCAACCAAACAAACAAACATTGTAAATGATTTATTTCTATATCTTATTTTGATCAGTTTAAGTGATTTGTTTGGAACACAAGCGAATCACTGAATCAGTTTTGAACTGATTCATTAAACTCAAAAATGAACTTCGCCTAAGACCTCTTATTTTTGTGTATGTTTGCGTAATGACACACATAAACTGGAAAAATAAAAATGCAATCATTCACAATGTTGCTTAATTTTATATAACCAGTGAAATCATTGTGAATATTCCATCCTTATACTCTAAAGGTTTTTTCAGGTGAATCTACTGGATTGGCAAATCATTCATGTATGCCTTCCTGTGATTGATGTATTGTCTCCAATATTTTAAACGTAAGCTGGTCTAATACAAATGACCTGAGAGATAATAGTTTGGAAGAGGAATGCACAGCTCACTCAATCTCTCTCAATTCATAACTGCCTCTATTGTGCCTTTAAATGAGGTTTGAGTCACAGCTGGGACGATTTTATCAGATTGTTCGTGAAAACAGAGCGAATGCTTTGCTAATATCTTTTCTTGTTTCAGACATCATTTATTCTCGGCGTCTTCGGGGATTCTTCACTCATTATAATTCTCCTCATCATTCATCATTGTTCACACCTTGCTTAGGAAATGACCATCAACTGTCGGAGAACGGCATGTGACACCAGACAGCAGGTAATCTCAATCTTATCAGTATGAAAAACATAAAGCTGCTTTCATTGATCAAACGCCAGATGCTCAGAAACTATTATTAGCATATTAATTTTATTAATGCATGCCATGCCTTGGATATTCAAAAGAGTGCAACAGTTTGTTTTCTCCATGCCATATGCATTGCAAATTATGTAATAGTTTCTTTACAGTCTCAAACTTTGCAATAAATATTAAATTCATTGGATTTTATATGAATCGTTATATGAATTTAATTATAAAGTTAGAAGACAAAATTATAAAAAATTATGAG